AGCACACTCAAATCACACGTTTGGTTTCCATTCACAAACGCAAAACATTATGATTTGCATGGCACATAAAAAAAGAACTAAGAGAAAAAGTGCAGCGACAGTAATCATAATGACTTTAAATAAAGATAAATATTGATTTAAAAATAAGAAAAGTTTAAATATTCAAAGTGATATGAGATGAGATTCACAAACTTGGCGAAAAAGTTGTTTTTTCCATCTCTTCGATTTTAATTATTCGGTTCCGTTTCGCCTTCTCTTATCGCACAAATTTCAATTTAATTGAAGAGTGTGCATCATCGCGGTGTTAAATCGATAAAATGCATTTGCCGTGAAAACGGATCGATTTAACTACTTTTATTACTTTTCTAAAGAAAACTTTTGTGAACGAGATAATAGAGTGAGTGGAACAGAGTCCTATTCCAGGTAAAAACGACTTTATGATTTACTCATCATACATACAGACACACACATACACACAATTCATTTTCGTCGAGTAGCACTTGGTCAAATGGTTCGATGAACAGAAGGAATGCCATTAAGTAAATGATGATCAGTTTCATGATATTATAATGCAAACGCGGCTTACATATAATGAGAAGTTTCACCCTGTTGTGATGCACAACAAGTACAAACTCGCTACGTTCAATAGAAATCCCATCGTTATTTATTCAACACAAATTATGTCGAACATTCATAGCAGAATATAATTTCATCATTTATTATATGGTATCTTTATATCGAAGCACTTTACACAGATGCAATGCAGCGAGAAGGAGAGTGAGAGAGTGAGAGAATAATTCGTACACAGCACGCGCCTTCAATAAAAATTGAATGAAATCGGAACCACCAGAATGTGAACATAAATTAAATTTTAAAATCTAACAATAGAGAAATAAATCGAAATAAAGTGCCGTAAAAATTCCACGTAAAGATATTGATGACTTTATGGTCATCTGGTTCAATTGTTATATCTTCATCGTGTGCGCATTTCTTCTTGTTCAGTTTTTTTTTTCTGTTGTTGGTTGACTTGTTTCACTTGTAACGAAAAATTGCTTTCACTCCGTTACACTCGATATTCAGCACACAGACAATTTACAAGTGAATCTTGGCCCACAGAATAAATGGTATAAGTTTTGAACACAAGAATGGTCGTTTCTTTGAACAATTTGAAGACGGTCTCGACTAAGTGCGCCAAACCCAAAAATGACAAAATATGCATTCAAATACTGAGAATTCTATGAAATTGAATATGATATTCATGTGTATTATGGTATAGATAAAGTAATGTGCGCTTACAAAGTAAAACTTTGAAATTCTGTAACATTTCCGAACAAACAATTTCTCTTCTCTTTTCTCTCGGACCCATTATTGGTTATTTACACAAAAATTAATTGAAGTATTCCAATTTTTTTCTCTAGTTTACAATGAGTGAAATATTTCTCAAGATTCGATAAATCACGCCCTGTTACTTTGTCGAGGAAAATTGTGTTCGGTTGGTGAACAACGATAATTTCCGTCCATATCGTATATGGTAGGATATGATTGCGGTTTCCCTCTCTGATCGAATTTTATTTTAAAATCTTGATTGTAATTTGGTCAACTGTATTCTCATCATATTTCGATTTTATATCTTGATTTCCCGTCCGTTCGTTCATTCTTCGGAACGGGAAATATTGAATTCAACCACAATATTTTACTCTTTATTCTGGGAAAAAGATTTAGAATAAAAAAATACGAACTGGACATTGTATCTGTCCATCGATTCATTTACCAATGATGATGTGTCACATATTCTTTGTTTGATTTCACTTCATCCCTTTCACCCTCAGCCTCCCGTCGCCGCTCGGTATATGCACAGCTAAAATGTCGTCCTCTTTTATATGTGTACACAATTCCAATCCATTTTCTGATCTTTTCCATTCCTTTGTATCTACTTTTCATTGCTCATTTCATTTCATACGCTTCTATTATCCACTCAATGGACTTGCATCACAGAAATCCGATGAAATATTTATTTATTTTATTTTATTTTTTATTCGATGAACTGCATTTGGATCATTATTTTGAGAGTTTCTCATCACAATTAGTGGCCAGCGAATCATCGTATGAGTGAGTCTTCGTTAAAGTGCAATCTTTGAAAAGAAAGCAAAAAAAACTTTTTGTGCGATTATGGCAATTGCAATTCGCAAAGCTTTTTACGATCGCAAGCGAACAATAAGCGTCATTATTGTCACATTTAGTATCTTATTACGATGATTATGATTTTTTTACTACTTACTCTGGTTGGAACATCGCGTTAGTGCCATCGTTGTTGCCACTGCAGCAACTCACACTTGAATAAACACTCTTACACACACTATCAAGCGCGAAAACTTTCATTGTTATCGCTCCGAATTCATTTCGAAGCATAAATCAACCACGACTTTATCTCGGTTGCATGCGATTTGTGCTGGCTCATATAATTTTTTTTCGTTGTTTTCTTCTCTCTCTCACGATCTCTCTCGTCACAACTTTTCAGAAGCGCTGACTTATCAATTTTTTTTGAAATTTAATCAGCTGAAAATCGCATACAAATAACCAACCGCTTGTGCTCGCGGTTTTCTTTTTATTCCACCAACAATTTTGAGAAATATAATTTATTACCACTTGCCACACCGAAATATAAATCCGTAATCGAATGTCTTATGCACCAAAGTTTTCTCAATGAAATTTTCAATATAAAAATCATTCAAATGGGAGCGCATAATATAGTACACCGAAAGGGGCAAAGCTTTGTAAAGTGAACATGAAAGTGCACGATTTTTAGACAGTTTTTTGAGTGGTAAGTGTTTGATGGTCTGTTTTAAAAGAATCTGTTTTTTTTTTCTTCAGACGAGAAAAAAAATTGTCGAAAAAAGCACCGAGTAATCGGGAATGAGATGAAAAATACGAGGGAAATTGAGAATATTAATCTTATTTTTTTACACTGGGCACATACTTTGAATGAAGTACATATCACAATGATGAATCTTTGTTAGCATATAGTCACTTTGAGACGTCTTGCTTTCAGTGTATTGTGTATGTATGTATTGTGCACGCATCATTATAAACTCTTTCTCACTTTCCGTTGGCTAGTCAACTTAACTGCATTTTCATTTTTCGTTCCAACTTAATTTCATATGCACGGACCACGAACATTACTTCGTCGACGCGGACCGCTTGCAAAAAAACCGAGAAAAAAAGACAGCAACACCATTAATACATGTAGTTCCTCCTGCGAAATTGTTTGTGTGTGTTAAACCACAAATACATGAATATCTCTTTAACCTAATTTAAAATATGTTCCGAAAATATTTGCCGACGAGATAAAGACAGTGTTGTTGGTTTCGCACTCGAACGTTGTCGAGCACCAAATTCCGGATGGGAAAAAGAATTCAGCAATACATTTTAAGTGTATAAATATGAAAGATGATGTTCACTAAAAATGCACACCAAAACGAATTCCAATGGAGAGAGAAAGAGAGAGATAGAAAAAAACATGAAGAAAATATAAGATTTTTTTACCATCACTGGCAAAAATGAAGAGATGGAAAAGAAGTTAAGTTAAGCTCAGAATGCATAAGCAAACGAATGACGACAACGATGAAGATGATGATGCCATCGCTACCACCGCTGCCATCGCCGACTCACTTTTTGCAATATTAAACGCAGCAACCCACTTTATGCCATCAAATATGCACTTCTCTTTCGTTTCGCCTTAACGCCAATTTCGACAGAGAAAAAATTACATTTTAATATACCACAGCATTAAGACTTTCTCGCTATCTCTTTCCCACTCATTT